GGGAGGAAGCCCGACACGGAGCTGGCCTGGAGGGGTCGCCCGCAGAGGTCAGACAAGCGCGGTGAACGGAAAGGCCGAGCCGCGATAAATCCGAGTGCCAATGCCGGGTTGACATTTAACATGGCGCCACCGGACGTAAAACGCGTGGTTTCAGCCACAGAAAATGTCGCAGGCCGTCGAGAACAAATGCCAACTATGGTAGGTGAGATACGCTGGGAACGAATGCCATGATAAAGTGATGGACCTTGCTCCTCAGAAATTCTGAAGCACATCGTCTGCTACAATCCGAATGCTGAAAACCATAATCAACAGGGATGGGTACCTATGTACCTATAAGCTATTCCTACTCCTACCACTGACGTCGTTGAGTTGAGACCAAATTCAAAGTCCCGATTGGCGACAGACGTTGTGCTATGTGTTGTTCAGCTGCCTTCCCACTGGTGCCAGCCCCTGGACGCCGCTCTTGGACCGTCACGGGCCAAGTCACGCTCCCAGCTGGTGTCTGCATACCGCTCTTTCGTCACCGGACAGTAATTGATGACCGGCGGCCCTGCGAAACTGGACGGCTCTTGGATAGTACCCTAAATCCGTTGTTGACGGTAACAAAGACTATAAATGGAATGAAGACCGCTGTTGTCTGTTGAATCCCACACAGAGCGGCGCAGACTATATAGGGATCATGGCACTTGTCCGAATCCATGGACAGTGAACAATTTACATATATAAAAATCAAAATGTCCGTATGTATGTATGTATGTATGTAACGCGTCAGTCACGCTTGGCGGGCTATTGCTCCGGAACGGTGCGGGTTACGGGGGTGAAATTTTGGACTTAAGTCGGACGCGTGCATCTGTTTGTTGTATTAAATTTTGGTGGGGGTGCGCTCGGCGGTTTGCACGTGGCGGGCGCATCTTTGCGGGATTTTGGGCCGCGGCCGTCGCCGAGCAGACGGCACGCGCCTTAGGCTCAGTTTCTTCGCTTGCAAAACTGGGTGAAATCAGAGCCGGCAGGTCGTTGACCTTTGGCAATGAACACCGGAACAGAGCACCGCCGGCCAAGAAGAGTCACCAAATTTATTCTGGCCATAACTCGGCCGCTACTGGGCCGATTTTAATGAAAATTGTTCACATATATAAAAATCAAAACGTCCGTATGTATGTGACGCGTCCGTCACGCTTGGCGGGCTATTGCTGTGGAACGGTGCGGGCTACGGGGGTGAAACTTTGGTGCCGAGTCGGACGCGTGCATCTGTTTGTCGTATCAACTTTTCGAGGGGGTGCGCTCGGCGGTTTGCACGTGGCGGGCGCATCTTTGCGGAATTTTGGCCGCGGCCGGCGCCGAGCAGACGGCACGTGCCGTAGGCTCAGTTTCTTCGCTGCAAAACTGAGTGAAATCAGAGCCGGAAGGTCACTGACCTTTGGCAATGAATATCGGAACAGAGCACCGCCGGCCAGAAGGAGACGCCAAATTTATTCTGGCAATAACTCGGCCGCTACTGGGCCGATTTTATTGAAACTTGATTTATTACGCTGCGCGTAATGCTGTCCCTCTAGTTACATATATAAAAATCAAAATGTCTGTACGTATGTATGTAACGCGTCCGTCACGCTTGGCGGGCTGTTGCGAGGCGACGGTGCGGGCTACGGGAGTGAAATTTTGGGCGCAAGTCGGACGCGTGCATCTGTTTGTCGTATCAACTTTTCGAGGGGGTGCGCTCGCCGGTTTGCACGTGGCGGGCGCATCTTTGCGGGATTTTGGCCGCGGCCGGCGCCGATCAGAGAGCACGCGCATTAGGCTCAGTTTCTTCGCTTGCCAAACTGAGCGAAATCAGAGCCGGCAGGTCACTGACCTTTGCCAATGAATACCGGAACAGGGCACCGCCGGCCAGGAGGAGACGCCAAATTTATTCTGGCCATAACTCGGCCGCTACTGGGCCGATTTTATTGAAACTTGATTTATTACGCTGCACGTAATGCCGTCCCTCTTTACGCTGCGCGTAATGCTGTCCCTCTAGTTACATATATAAAAATCAAAATGTCTGTACGTAACGCGTCAGTCACGCTTGGCGGGCTATTGCTCCGGAACGGTGCGGGCTACGGGGGTGAAATTTTGAACGTAAGTCGGACGCGTGCATCTGTTTGTCGTATTAAATTTTGGTGGGGGTGGGTTCGGTGGTTTGCACGTGGCGGGCGCATCTTTGCGGGATTTTGGGCCGCGGCCGGCGCCGATCAGAGAGCACGCGCCTTAGGCTCAGTTTCTTCGCTTGCCAAACTGAGCGAAATCAGAGCCGGAAGGTCACTGACCTTTGGCAATGAATACCGGAACAGGGCACCGCCGGCCAAGAGGAGTCACCAAATTTATTCTGGCAATAACTCGGCCGCTACTTGGCCGATTTTAATGAAAATTGATTTATTACGCTGCGCGTAATGCTGGACACCTAGTGTGGTATAATAACAGTCAAGAAGAAATATGGAACTAAAATGCGACTGATAACATTCTTTGAAATAGTGCTAAAACGGCACCGTATCAAGATTCCTGAAATATCTCATCTCTCTCTCTCTCTCTCTCTCTCTCTCTCTCTCTCTCTCTCTCTCTCTCTCTCTCTCTCTCTCTCTCTCTCTCTCTCTCTCTCTCTCTCTCTCTCTCTCTCTCTCTCTCTCTCTCTCCCTCTATCCCTGCCTTCATATTTAACCACCCTCAGAGCAGCATATTATGCAGCCCATCACCATCGTTAGCATGACGTCACCCGTCTGCCACTTGCCTCAGCGACGTGGCCTTGTGCCGCCTCCTGCCTCTTAGCCGTGGAAATCCGAAACCATCCCACAGCAGTGCCATTAGGGCGAGCAGGATGGCCCCAGACCGGTGGAAGGTAGATTACTACCGTGTGCAGAGGCGCGACTCTCCGGCCAAATGGCCCTGTTTAGGTGTGCTGAATTATTCAGACATGAGTGTGACGATGGTGGCTCAGGTGACGATAATGGCAGGAATTGCAGCGTCTCTTCTAGGAGTTTTCCCATTAATATGCGCGCAATTGGTCGATCGACACAGAAGGCGACATTCAGTATTCGATAGGGATATGGGAGAATCGATAGTGACATTGACCTTGGCAGAGCAATAAGGCGATCTAATGCAGCCACTCTGACTTGGTCAAAGGCCGTGGCGAATAGGTACTAACATATAAACACTCAAGAGTCGCGTTCGCGTTCACGTCCACCGGTGGATGTCAATGAGTGCCAGTGAGGATTATAAGCATGCATAATGATTTATAAGCCTTTTGATTCCTTCATCATCTAAGACAACCATTTTCAGCTATTGGCACTGGACACTGCCCTACCATTGCCGTGCGCCGAGACCTTCTATCCTGCTCGCTAGATGGCAGTGGCTTCGAGCCCCTGAGATAATGCTGCACCGCAGTACTCGTCGCCCCGTCGCCAGGCTGCTGTGATGGGCGCTAGAGCGGGAAATTGATGCGCTCATGTATATGTATAAGCATAGGGCATTGCTCCTTACGCTTCAAAGCCGGGCTTTTACATTGATAATGGTAATAGTCACAAATTTGACGATCATTTGGCTCATTCTCCAATTGAATTGTTATATTCGTAATTCGTATTCACAGTTTACGTCGTTACATAGGTAAATTAGGTATTCAATTCAATAAGCAATTCAATAAGCGTTTCAATAATTCAATAAGCAAGCTGAAATCGGTGAGGCTCCGCAAATATAATGCGTAAAAAATAAATAGATATGTAATTATTAAAGAAAGACTCGCGTCCTCCGACTATTTTATAAAGGGAACAGCATTGAAATAAAATTTATTTGGGCCCACTTTCAAGTAAGATTTTATGCAATATCGTTATGGTGTGGCATCTGATGTGGCACAGCAGCTGACACAATTATACGACACCCATCAGCCAGAGTGCTCGAGAAATGTGTCTGATATCAACACGGTGGCGGTGCCACGGCATGAAGGTGTTGCAGACAGTTCCCTGAAAATCAGCGCAGAAATTGCTGAGTTGCTGGCTTGGTAACAACCAAGGCACCCTTTTATAAGTGAGCATATCCGAGCAGCGAGAAACTGCCTGAAAGCTTGTCACAAGTATACGAATGTGAATCATTAATTTATCTCTTAGTGGCAGCAGTATCCATGCGATGTTACCAGTCATATTGCAAACATAGGTGTTTAAAATAAACAAAATGTGCATCGCTTCTTCGTATGAACTCTCACGTTAGAATCCTTTGAAGGGCTCAGCCCTTGACCAAATGGCTATACAGGACTGGCGTAGCCTTACATACACACTGGGCCGCTAGATGCCATCATCCTAGTAAGAACCTCGCACGACTTCGTGTACGTGCCATGCTAACTGTTCTTTTACCAGGAGCATAATGCTAAGAGGGTTGCTATGCTAGGTGGGCCACGCAGAAGAAACCACACATAAAAAGATCCATCAACACTGCAGACCAGTGCGACACGCGGCCACTGCTCCCGATCCTCGGGCGCAGTGCGACGTGTCCTAACTGCGCAGCTAGCATGCGCCACGGGTTACGATGGCCACGGGTTACGCCGGTCACGCGTTACGCCGGCCCCTGTTACTCCGGCCACGGGTTACGCCGGACCCTGGTCACTGGTTGGCGCACCGTGTCCCCGTCCCACAGCTGACGTGCGCTACTGGTTACACCAACCATGAGTTACGCCAGCCATGGGTTACGTCGGACCTTGGTTACTCCGGACACTGGTCAGTGCCGCTGTGTCCCCGCCCCACAGCTGACGTGCGCTACTGGTTACAGGTGTCGTTCTGTTCTCGAGTGCCGTGTATTTCGCCGAGGCCGGCGGCGCAGAGTCCTGTTTCGCCTCGATCCCGGATGCCTTCTGGTGGGCGGTGGTTACCATGACAACGGTTGGCTACGGCGACATGAGGTGACCGCGGCCGGCGCGCTGTGCGGTGTCGCTCGGTGCCGGCGCCTGCTGACCGCTCCTGACGCGCTCTGTCACTGTGTTGCAGGTGTGGTTCTGTTCTCAAGCGCTGTATACTTCGCCGAGGCCGGCTCGGAAAATTCTTTGTTCAAGTCTATCCCGGACGCGTTTTGGTGGGCTGTGGTGACAATGACCACCGTCGGATACGGCGACATGGTGTACGGAAGTCACTCTACCCCGTGTTTCTCACATCCGGCATCCGGTCTTCTTCTTTCACTTCTCACTCCCTCTTACTTAATCTGCTTGGCGACCTCTAGCTTTCGCCCGAGCTCGACTTCTTCTGCTGCTCTGCTTTGCACGTCTCTTTTGCATGCCGCGCTGCAATGCCATTGTCGTGACGTAGGGAGAGGGGCTAGCTGGAGTTTTTTTTTCAGTAGGAACTGTGGACGATTGTGAGGTGGACCGTGCACGATAGAATGCACCATGCACACTGAGAGTGATCACTGGGCCTGCTTTATGCGATAAAATGGACAACAGTAGAATCTGAAAGTGAGAAGAACCTTCAAAAATATATTGAGTTAATTTTCAACTTTTGAGTCCATTTTATTCTGTAAAATATGGCACAGACACTTATTTTGTTATGTAGTGAGTACCAAAACACCATTTTTAGTCAAAACGGGCGAACATTATTAGAGGTAGAAATAATCAACAGCATTTACTGCATGGTCATATTTACCTAGTCATTTTATGTGTCCGCAACTTAGTGTTTTACAGGTAGTCGGTGCCGGCGGAGACAATAAATCGCACCATTATGTTTAAATAACACAGAGTAACCCCACCAAATGGAAGGGAATGGCGTCCAATGGTGCTGGTTTAGTCTGACGTCACTGTTGTAGTTTTCAGCTCCAACCTCTAGCTCAGCTGTGATCCGAAGAATTACGACGTGTTTAACTAAATACTGTGATTATTTCTTGTATACTAAGTAGCATATGCCGCGAGAGTGGATGTCCTACAATCAGCGACACCCAGCGTGAAACTTTTTCCAATTTTCGATATCATTCCTCTTGCCAGTATACCTTTTCCTTTATGGTTTCCTTATTAGTTTAAGCGACCTGCCACATCCGGTACCATCAGGATTGCATGGAGTCAAATTAGAAGACTGAATAGGGGACTTGGTGACCTGTGACTCCTGCTCGGTGACCTGTGACCTCTCTCCATGACCCACACTGACCTGTGACCCGCGTCTGCCACAGACCGGTCGGCGTCTGGGGGAAGATTGTCGGCTCACTGTGCGCCATTGCCGGCGTGCTGACCATTGCGCTGCCCGTGCCGGTCATTGTGTCAAACTTCAATTACTTCTACCACCGCGAGACGGACCAGGAGGAGATGCAGTCGTGCAACTTCAACCACGTCACCAGCTGTCCATACCTGCCCGGCACTGTCGGTGAGTGACGTCCTCGTCACTTTATACAGGGAAAAGGAAGAAATAAATGCCTTTTGCCATGAGCACCAGCAGATTATTTCTCCACAGTTGAATTCAGAGCAATATACTAAACCAATGTTAGTAAAACAGGTTGTCAGTTAAGTCTGCTGGACACTGTGCGATGCCGCCCATTTCCGGCTCGTAAAAGCCACTCCACTTTCGTTCTAACAATCTAACGTGGCTTTTTCGATTTGCACCATAGTATCTCGTTCCTCATTCCAGCATTTCACAATGGACTCGAATCGTTGCCCGAGACTTCCCAAATCGCTAGTCATTCCCTCGGATGACACTGGTACCACGTATCCCAGTACAACTTACGCTGATGACAGTCTGCCTGGCCAACTCTCATTATTCCCAGATATGAACCACCCAGTGCCTTAGAGCGCGATAGTAAACTTTCACTGATAACGCCGCGCCTCCCTCTCACAGGCCAGCAGGTGAAGAAGGACTCGCTATCCGACTCATCGTCGGAGATTGACCTGGAGGAGGGTCTGCTGGGTCACGAGGCCAGCACCAAACTCAACTGCGCGCCGCGGCACAACAACAACGTCAACGCCGTTAGCATCGAGACGGACGTCTGACGAACGGCGTCTGCCACAGAGATGCACGTCTGACGGCCGGTAAGACCGGGTAAAGACGAGTGTGACGGCCGGTAACACGCGGTAAAGACGAGCGACGAGTCTGACCAGTACAACGGGGTAAAGACGAGTCTAACGGCCGGTAAAATCGGGCAAAGACGAGGCTGCCGGCTGGTGAGACCGGGTAAAGACGAGTCCGGCGGCCGGAAAGACGGGGCAAAGACGAGGCTGCCGGCTGGTGAGACCGGGTAAAGACGAGTCCGGCGGCCGGAAAGACGGGGCAAAGACGAGGCTGCTGGCTGGTGAAACCGGGTAAAGACGAGTCCGGCGGCCGGAAAGACGGGGCAAAGACGAGGCTGCCGGCTGGTGAGACCGGGTAAAGACGCACAGCTGATGGCTGGTAGGACGGAATAAAGACGAGCCTGACGGCCGACGCATTGTCTGTCCTGCACGACACGGCACCTCTAAGCGACATTGATTTCACTCACAGCGACGGTCTTGAATTCCTCTGATGCATAACACATGGAGTGGTCTCTCAGACGAATAGCACTTCTGCTGACCCAACAGCTATGCTGCACCTCTGAAGGGTTCGTCTGAGCCGACTTCAAAGAATCCGCCGTTTTTACACATCCAATGCACTTGCCGAGTGGCGCTACCATTTCATTTTCTCCCGACGGCGTTTCATAAAATCCGGGCCGTCCAACTCTGAGCCAACTTTAAATTCGAGCCGTCGGAGCCACGCCGCGGCTCCGGCCGGCGGGCCGCAGCCAATGTCAGCGCGGGGCCGACTTGTTTCGGCCGGCCGGTCGGCGCCCCTGGTGTGTCTGCTGCCGAAGCGTCCTCGGTCGTCTCCCGCCGAGCATCGTGACACGCCTGTTTATGCACTGTCAAGAGCTGGCAGTACGGGCAGCAATCGGAGCCGGCGCCGCCAAACACTCGCCGCCAGATATATCTAAAGGGTCAGCCGGCAAACATCCGTCCGGGCCCGGCGTTACTTGCTGCTCTCTGCCGGCTCGATAGAGGACTGCAGTGGAGGACTGCTGCGAATAGCGACATCGCTACGTGCCGCTCACTGGCCCTGGAATTGATGCTGTCCGCCAACTGCGACATTGTTGTGTCCTCGGATCGGAATCGTTCGCGGACCGACTCGCAGACCCTGATTATTTATTACAACGCCACTGCGTCCCCTGACCGGGAAGTTTGCGCTACTATAGCAGAGCAAACTTCTCTGTCTGAAAGAAAGAACTGTCCCTGTAGCAAAGGGTTTCAACTGTCATCCTGTCCACTACCTATGCAAGGAGGGCGATCGAGACCGTTCTTGTTTGTGCTGTGTAGAAGGTCGAAACTGACGCTCGTCTGAGCTGTGTTCAGATACAGCGCAGCAGAGAGATTGGACGATTCCGAGGATAATTTGCCACGACTTCATCTCGAAATGAAGGCAGTTAAAGTTGCAGCCTGTAATAACAACGCTATCGAATTCGACGCTTTTCAAAACAGTGGGATTTCGATGTTATTCCAGATAGCGATTCCATTCTCGAGAAGGATATCAGGCATTGGAAAACGAAGTATTATAGGATCAGTGTTGCTGCTGTTCTTCATATCGAGGACGGCACCAGCGCGGTTCGGCTACTCGGGGTGAAAATAATGCAAGAGCCTGACTGACCTTTGGAATTTGCGCGAGGTCATGGACTACAGTTCCTATTTATGGACCTCAATGCTGAATTTTCATGATCTTTCTTACAATGCACGGTCCCAATTCTGTCCCGCATTGCCAATTGGAGTTTTTGGAAGCAGCAACGCTTTTCATGTAGCACCAATCCTATAAACATTAAACACCCCTCCGCGCTGTGCAGTTCTTCCAGACGGCTGCTAGTGCCGTCTATTTTGATCTTATGAATGTTACAAGGAATATGAAAACTCTGGCAGTTCGGAAACTCCTCGAGTCGAGAGGTGGACCACATTGGCGCGCTGTCTGGAAACCTGTCAGTCCACGAAGTACTGGAATATCGTGGCAATTTGCAAATTGACTGGAGAGAAGTGCCGAACTATCCGACAAACGAACTCGTCAACTGGTTAATGCATAGCTAGGGCTCAGAGCAAACTCTGGATGATGAGCATTGTTAATGCAAGTTGACCGCTAGTTTTTCGGTTTGACATATTTGTTGACTAGTTTGCAGTTGTAGTGAGTTGACCTATCGTAGTCATTCAGGAAAGGTCCAAATACGGCACGGCTGTACTCACGCTCTGGTTATCTCCTGTTTCTAGCCTCAACCCCATCTGTTCATCCGTCTCGGACGGGCACCCAGCGTGATCGTTTGTTTTTACCGAGCTATCCTTCTGTCCGTCTATTTCTGACCGCCATCCTTCTGTCGCCTGTTTTTGACTGCCAGCCCAGTCGGCGCGTCCATCTCTGACCGCTCCCCGCTTTTTCTGCCGGCAGAATGTCGTCTCTGTTCCACCGGCCGGGACAGAACCAAGTGCCAAGCTTCCTGTTCAGCTCAACGGTCGCGCCGGGCGCCGCGCTGGCCGCGCGCCGCACCCCGGCGCTGTTCTAGGCGCCGCCCCCTTCCGCCCTTGTGATATGTGTGTGTCCGGCGGGGCTGGCGGCGGCGCGCCGGGCGCGTTTCGGTTGTGCCTTGCTGGCGCCCTCAGTTGGCCGGCCGCCGGCACGCCGCCCCTCGCCGTTGTGTTGTGTCGCCGAGAGTCGCGGCGGCGACACGTCGCCGATTGTGTGCCATCTGAGAGTCCATTTCAGTTCACTAGTTGACGCCTTGTAATCACCCTGCAGCCACGGCGCTTCGGAAGTTAGCACCTCTTGATCTCTTAAATTCTTCTTGCGTAGCCGGCAATTTCAACAATAGTCTATCATCCGACACGTCTTTTTATATTGAATTTATTATATCGATGTACATAGTGTTGTACATAGACAACATCTACAGTTATTTACAAAGCCGTTGTTAACGTGGTGCATGTCTCCACATTGTTGACATTTACCTCTCAGTCTATCATCTTCCTCTCTATCTCTCTCTTCTCTACTCTGTCGCGCGCGTGGCGGCGGCGCCGCGCCGCCGGTCGGGTCAGGTCAGGTAGTGTTGGGTGGGCCGCGCGCGCGGCTGCGCACCGCGCCAGTGACCTCAGAAGGGCGCGCCGAGCGCTCAGTTTCGTGTCGGGAGCGGCACCCGACAGCGGCCGAGGAGTGCAATACATGACTCATTAATAGGGCTCCCCGTCCGCGATGGTGTCCCATAATCAAACGGTGTCCAGCCCGTCTCGCTGATAATGTATGCCAGTTGTTACATAATTCTCCCGTGTCTTCTTGGTCGGCGGTGCTCGGCAGGGGTTCGGACGCTCATTTGTGCGCTCTTTCTCTCCATTGTTTTCCGTACATTGGCGGTTGCCAGCGCTCTGATCTGTCCACTATAGCCGGACCGGCCGCCCTCCCTGCCCCTTCCAGGTCTCATGACACCATCGCTCACCTATCACACATGTTCCCTGCTCATTGCTCAAAGCACGTTATCCCATCTCCAGCAGCCTCCCATCGATACACGGTCACCAGTCACCTCTCTTCATCCACCGGTCGCAAATTATGCGACACGCTGTGACCGGCTGCGTGCCGGTAGCTATGCCAAACTCAGCAGACAGACCAAACCAAAGGCCGCCGTGACTATTGCATGGTGTGACAAATAGACCAACAGACCAAACCAAAGGCTGAAGTCTTATTTTTCAATAAAAACAAATGCAGGTGAACACTGGTGGCTTCCCAGCGAGTGATGACACCATAACGAGCGATGTCCCGTCGACCGTCACCCATTGTTACAACAGTCAGCCAAAGTCGCCCCTCGCATTCCAGGTACTGATCCAAACACATCAGAAGCATCGCGCCCATCTTTTCCCGTTGTAGGCCAGAAAGCCCGAGGGAAGGTAGCGCGCCAAATCCTGCGCCCATATATCTTCATCAAGTTTGAGTCGGCGGCTATCCTTGGTACGTGGAGACAAAACTGGATCAACCGGCCGGCTGTGAAAATCAGCGCCTCAATTGCTGCTCTCAAACGGCAAGGCTGTGACTGGACGACACTGAAGACTTGAACCAAATGGTAACTAAAACCAAACGTTAACCGAAACCATCCAGCACTGAGTCCCTGGTAACCGAAACCCACACGCTGTGATAACCCGACCTCGCCCACAGCTCCGACCGGCCCTCCGAGCGAAATACGCCATTCCTATGCAAAGGACGCCGGCCGACGGTCGGGCTGGCCTGTAATTATACCTTCTGCCCGGGCAGCGCGGCTCGCCTCCATAGCACCGGAGGCTTCAGTGGCCACTCAGCTCCAATCCCCATCCCTAGCACTGGCCGGAGGGTAGCCCCAGCGACGGCCATCCGTGGGCGGGCTCAGAGCGCCGGCAGCCGCCCCCTCTCTCCCTGGCTCAGAGCCGACCAGACGCTCTCTATCTCTCTCTATCTCATTCGAACCCCGAGCCGCAGTCATACCCAACGTGTGCTTTTTCATTGTCAATAAAGTTATTTATATCAGTGCCCATGCGTGTGTATGCGTTGCAAGGGAATAGATGGAATATGCGAAACGATAATGTATTTTTCGAAATGATGAGGCGTGATTGACAGACATGGTATGGTCAGTGAGAGATGAGCTATCCGGCGAGCGATGAAAATGCACAGCCACTTTACAATGCTGACTGTCCTGAGCGGGCACTTTATAAATAACGAACAGACAGACACAACAGGGGTACAACTTACCCACCAATAACGAACAGCGAACTCTTTAACAACATACACAAACACCGAGCTACCGATTCTTCAACGCACTTCGACTTCAACGCAGTCAGCAAACGGAACTCCACAACTGGCGAGTCACAGCTAACGATATGGCTGTGTCATAGCAAGCTTATGATAATCTGCTAAACGGGGACACAATCCACAGTCACCCATCACAGCTCTGTGAAAAGGGACATCGGGGTCACCCCAACGAGTGCCGAGCCGGTGAGTCTGGACGTACCGGGGGACGACTCCAGAGTCAAGTCATCTCTCGCTGTCCGAGTCACGGTACCTCTATCTAGATTCACCTCTGGTCGTCTCGGGGAACACTTGACTCTGGCTTTCTCAGAGACTCTTCCCCAGCCTTCTCGGCAGGACTGACCGTGTGCAGACGACTGATGAGAGCCGTGGGCCCGTGGGTCACCGTCTCAGGCAGCGATACCGTCCGTGCGGGAGGCCTTGAACTTCTTGGCGCGTCCGCCGACCGTCTCCGGACGGAACTCCTGAGAGTCGGCCACCTCAAACTCCTTGTCCTGGGAACAGCGGAAACAACGGGCATGTGGCAACACAACCTCCGGACAGTGGAATTACCGGTCGGAACACTTAGGACAAGATTGACTCACTGTTCCTATCACTCTAGAATCTAGATAGATAGATACAGACACGTTTGTTACATCTACCTTTAAAATTTACTTACGATTACAGTGCTGTGTTTCTAGCCTGAGCATAAAACGCTTCTCTGTTTACCCTCAAGCAGCTCTTGTTTGTCGTCTACCATCTGATCGTCACACAACGGGTAACAACAGCTCATCATTGGGTCACGCCAGCACTCCGGCCGTATCGATTATACGCTCTGTCTCGCCCAGAGTGGTACGTACACAGCCTCCTCAGGCTGAGCACCTCACGCTCGGGACAATCTGGCACGACGGCCGGGCTAGCTGCTGCCCCACTTCTCCGCCACGTAGACCTAAATCGTACCGACTGTTCACGATTTCTCCACTCATTCGACCAACCTAGCAGTCTCTCAGGACCGTCTTCCGAATGCCACTTCAACCATCAGCTCATAACTCTTTGCTCGCTCCCTCTTCTCCCTGACTCTTTTTCTTCTCTTCTCACTCACTCACTTTCTTACTTCTGCTGAACGGCACCGGTATTTGTCGATGCGTGCTTTGACTACCGTGTCTCCGGCTCTGGCCAAACAAAACTAGCGCTCGACAGCTAACATCGAGTTGTCCACAAACATGTTCATCAATGTCAGATGGAGTTTTTGTTGTAAGATCGTTGAAAATATCACGGAAATACTGCCCTGAACGTCACACTGTTTGTTGTATTCGAGTCACTCATGTGGCAACCAGCAATAGGTATGAGCTAAGAGTGCTTCTAACGTTTCACTTCGATGCTTTTCCCGCTATGATCACGGTCTGTGAATTTTATGTAGGTACAGCCCACGGCTAAAGTAATGTAGGGTTTTACCAATCTCAACGGTTGGCTTTGACTGGCGATTGTTTAATGCGGAGTGATCGAAAAGAAGATGTCAATAGCTAAGATACATATAAGCTACATTCAAAGTTTCATTGTAGTCTGGCTAATCGTTCCTAAGCTTCAGAAGCAGAACATACCCATGACTGAAACCGCACATTACTTCTGCTGTGGACTGGACCTCGGTGTTATGAGTATGACTTCAACTGATGCTACAACTACACCCCTGGTCAACTGCACAGGTGCAGTGTCTGCGCCGATTTCCCAGTTCGTTCGGCTACTGTCCGGTCACACCACATCTAACCATGTCCACTTCCAGTCACCTACCCCAACCTCACTGTCCCAGTCCCCTGCCACTGCCGGTCCGGTCTGCTGTTTATACCACCGAGCAGAGATGGCCCGGTAGCGTGGCCAGCTCATCACCTGGATACCCAGCCCAGGGGGTTCCTCCGCACCCCCTGCCCCCCGAGCGCAGCACGGCATCGCATGCACACACACACACGCACACGGGAGCGGCACCGCATGCACGCACAGCACGCAGGATACACCGCTGGTAACGAACAAGCGCACGCCGCCACCACACACGTCACACAAACACATAACATACATAACATACGGTAGGTACCGAACCTACCACACACGCAGACTCATTCGTAAGCACGCCGTATTGCACACAACATACACGCGCCGAACCACATAAAACTACCGCACACACAGGCATTTCGACCAAAATCGGGTTACCAGCGGGCTATGCTATTCGACAGATCGGCGGCGACATATGAAGCCAAGTCGACCTGATGGGGTCCAGAGCACACACAAACACACAGGTACCGGAGATGAGATGGCGGACAGACAGGCAAAAACGTCGGCGGACACAGCCTGAGGCAATGAGATGGACAGACAACAGGACGAAGCCAAACAGCAAGACGATTGTGAGTAGATTGAAAGACATGGCGAAAACATGGCTTAGCTTGGTTGATTAAATGAGACGGTTAAAGAAGAATAAATGAATCATCGGGACAATAAGTTGTTTTTGTATCTCAACTGGAGCGGAACTGTGCTAGAGAGCCAAGCAGCGTTTGGAATAAATTGGTGCTTTTTTAAATAAGCCATATATCAAGAAATTGTGATGCGGTCGATGAAATGTCTGACACCGTCCCCTCATCCATCCCCGCACGCGCCCGTCTACCCAGCCACCCCCGCCCCTCTCTCACTGACCGGCTGGCTGCGCGGCGTGGCCCGCCTCTCCCTGCCGGCAGAGCGCGGCTCGGGCCCGTCCCCGGAGGGACCGGTGCGCGGGGTGGCCGGCGGAGAGTGGTCGCCGTCCTCCGGCCCGTCCAGTTCCATCCTGCCGGCCCGCTCAGCCACCTCGTCCACCGCCTGCCAGAGCGGTGGAGGGGAAAAACTTAAAACATAGTTTACACTAGACCGCGACCAGCTGCGTAACGAATGTTGTCAAAGGATGCGGCAATACGACACATCACTTACAAACATTGATGTAAAATGATAAGCATTTCAGGAGATGATGCACCATTAATAAAATCCCGCAAAATCTTTTTCGCAACTGAGTAGCAGCACCAAAAATGCCAGGTATTTGGCCTATGTAAAATCGGCAACGCCGCCCCAGCTATCCCAGAGTTCGGCCAACGGCACCCTTTCTCAGCAGGGACGCTTCCAAAAGTCGTTAAAATGATCCACGGAGTAATACAGCGGTTGAGACTCGTCTGATGGTTTCCTGACTGGTAATGCAGTGTCGGACGGTTAGTCTGCCAGCTGCAGCAGATTGTCACATGGAGACACGCCAACTCTGGGTGGGAACACCCAGGTCATGGTCTAGTTCCGCATAATTTCCGTAACAACTGTCTACGGTGAGCCCAGGCGCCCAGTCAAGGGCATGCACTGTCGGGTCGGGAATTCCTGCGCCCAGTCCAGCCGGCCGCGATAGACGGACCCGATTCATCAAGAGAAGAGGGAAGGAATGGCGTGAGAGGAATACCGGGAACCGCGACCCACCGCGGGAAGAGAACGATGTACCGCAATAAAGCAGCAGCACTTCGCCAACAGATATTTATTTACCGGGGAACTCCCCGAAACTCGGGTATTGGAGACTGATATTGATAGAAGGGTCTGTGGAACACTCGCGGGAGGTCACGTCCCCCCGGGTACCGGGCACTAATAGAGCCGGGGAAGGACGGTGCTGTGGCGGCCTTGGCCACGGTCCTCAGAGATATACTGGCACCTGTTCCGCAGACTGCTGTCCGCTGGGACACAGCGTGCAGCGCCTGGAGGAACAGCGCAATAAGTCGGCCGCTGACTCCCCGACGGTACGGGGTTCCCCTTCTTTACATGGGTTAGAACGTCAGTGATTCGTCCGACTAAATCCACCCCCGTCTGGGGTGTGATGGTGCCTTGGTCTCCTTACCTGGTGTCCGCCGGCGGGTCGGTGCGCTGCGGCCGGGGCCGGCCGGTTCAGGTAGCGGGGGAAGGCCTCGTTCAGCAGTCGCTCCTTGTCCACCACACGGACCGTGCTGGGGTGGGAGACAGGACGGGTTAGGGGAGTAGTGAGGGGGAGGAGAGAGGACCGCTGCATTGAGCGTCCGACGGCCGCGTCGATCTACACAGTTGGCCTACGGGCGGGAATTACATAGAATCGGCAAAGACAGCTCACACAAAGACCGACAGTGACTACCAAGTACCAGCACACTGCAACACACGATATGCAAACAACGCACAATGTGACCCCAATGCACTGCACCGCGTGATGCACATTGAATGAATAATATGCAACATGTTATGCACAATTCACAACTGTACATGACACGTTACGCTACTGCACAAATACCATAGTAGCGGGTAATCATAGTTAAAAAGTGTCACTTAATTTCTAGCGAGGCGAAGTGCACTCCTCAATCTTATGGTAACAACTGCAGCGCAGTAGTGTAAAGCTGAAACCGACCAGACGATGAGTGTTTAGTACCGGTACCAGGGTGCTTTGCAGCGAGATGCCCCATTTGAGACACTGTACTGTCCGTGCGACTGACTGACCGACTCACCCCTTGGACCTGTTGGAGAGTGGCTTCAACAGGCCATCCTTGTCCAGTCGGCTCATCAGACCAGAGGCCACGGCCACGTCCACGCCGAGACGCTGCGCCAGCCGGGCCGGCTGAACGCGCGACATCTCCTCACAGGCGCACAGGCCGCGCCGGTACAGGCAGGTGGCCTGTGGGAACGGCGTGGTGTGCAAATCTCACATATTGCACCGGACAGACAGGTGGCCTGTGAG